TTACTCCCTGACCCCACGGAAGCGGCATGGAGACTCAGCTGTGGACAGGTACTATGGATGGCTGCCTGGGCCACGGGTCTCCTTGCAGCTTCCTAAGAGTCAGGTGACTCTCTCTCCTGAATTGGGGAGGTTTTCAGCCGACTTTAAAAAGGCCTGGCTGGCTGGTATGTACCCACAGTGGAGCTGGGTTCTCTTAGGCTCTCAGCTGGACTCCAGCTTTAGAGACAAGATGAGCGGTGTTTTCCTCCTCAGTCGGCATCTGGCTCCGCAGACCTGCCCGCCCATCCCTCCAGCAAGGGTGCCCCGCAGGCGTGGTTAGTGGACAAGCAAGCTTCTTATTCCTCCTAAGCCACGTGCAGGGAGCATACGCCATGGCTTCCCTGTGGCAGGCTTGGTTTTTCCCAGTCCACGCTCACTTTGTCCTCAGAACATCTGTGACGTCGTCACTCCGTTTTATCTCTTGCGTGGAGAGGACTGTCTTTTGGGGGTCCACATTCAGCTTTCCCGCTCTCCTGCAAAGGCGGAACTTTGCCTGGGTTGGTCCATGTGCCTGGCACAGGCGGGACAGATCCAGGGGCACATTGGTCTAGATCCATGGTTCTCAACCTGTGGGTCGCAACCCCTTTGGGGGCCAAACGACACTTTCACAGGGGTTGCTAAGACCGTTGGAAAGCACAGATATTTACATTATGATTTGCAACAGTAGCAAAATTACAATTATGATGTAGTGATGAAAATAGTTTTATGGACTGTATGAAACGGTCACAGCACTAGAAAGGCTGAGACTCACTGATCCGGATGGACCCCTCTGGGCCATGCATGGACTCTACTTCCTGGGTTCTGGGATACATTCATTTCCTTCTGTTTTCAAATCTCCAGTTGGTTCCTACACTTGTGTGGAGAGCTCATGTAATAATGGGATTTTTTCCCCCTAAACATTCCTTGGGAGTATGTCTGTAACTATGAGTATCTTAGCATCTTGGGAATGCACTTCAGAGCTGGAAAGAACCCTGCTTGGACCTGGCTCTGCTGTTTATGACTGTGATTCACCTGGCTGAGCCTTCCCCAACTCATTGTTAATGCATGTGGAAAACAGCATACGTCACACAGAAACCCCAGGGGTACCTTGGGTCATGACCTCTCAGGTCCCAATGCAAGGGGTCATACACCTTAGGAGCTCAGCTGCACATTCACCTGAGACCTGGACCATGTGGGGGTCCAACAGCTTCACAGAGCCAACAAAAGGAGCCTATCAGAGCTGTGTGTGCCCAGGACTTTCTACAGATAACACCAGTACCTGCTTTGAGGACTTGGGACTTGGGCACGAGAACATCTCTCTCTCTCTCTCTGTGTGTGTGTGTGTGTGTGTGTGTGTGTGTGTGTGTGTGGTGTGTGTTCCCTTCCCCTGGAAAGAGCACAGGGCAGAAAACAGGACTCTGGGCCCTGAAGGTTACCATGGATGCTGGTACTCTTGAATAGCTGGGTTGCCTCTCCTGCAACAGGGCAGCCTGTTTCTGTAGCATCTAGAAAAATAAGAGAAAATCAGCTTGGAATCTACCTCTTGGCAGTCCAGGCCGCCAGCTTTGATTGAAAACACATCCTCGGATTCACAGAGAATACCACTGATGAAGCCTGGGATGGCCCCAGGGCAAGACAGAGCAGCTCCCTGCTGCATTCCCAAATTCTCCTGTTAAGGCCATTATTAAATTCATCTGAAGGTCAAATAAGATCCACAAATCAAAAACAGCATTAGCAAGTAAAAACAGGGCTGTGAGATTCAATCAGGACATGTTTGCCTGGGAATAGCCATCCGCTGGGCCTCACCTGACTGAGGGAGGAGCTGCTGGCCGGGCTTGAAAACTGGTAAAGGGGACGGATGAACTTGCAGCAGAAGCAGCAACAGCAGCAAGGGTCAGCTTCTTCCTTATGACTCCGAGGCTTCAAAGAAAACCAGCAAGTACAAGGTTTGCCAGAACTCCTTGAAGCCACGTTTTATGGCCCTTGACAGGCAGGGTACCTTCTGTTTTGGTGAGCAGATGACCAGTGGGGTCGCTCCTCACTGGGTCCCTATTCAAAAATTCCAGTGCTGTAGGATCATGTGACAGTAAGGGACAGGAGCACCAGAGTGTCCCAGGCCTCCCCAGTGCATATCCCCATTTCATGAGGGAATAATTTGAGGCAGATTCAAGAGCTCTTGAATGACACCCAGTCCCTCTCGGCTATGGTTTTATGTTCATCTTACTTCCAAGATAAATGTTCCATTCTGTAAGACTTTATCCACTTTCCATGGCCACACATATGTGCCTGTATGTACACACACACACACACACACACACACACACACACACACACACACACCACACACACACCATCGTAGGGCATCATCCAGATTCAGTCACTAGCTCCAGGGCCAGTTTGGTGATACAGTCCCTTATGAAAAGATGGCACCACCCTTGCCCAATAATGCAGTGAGAGTTGGACATGGATTCAGAGGCGCTTCTCTGCCCTCCAGAACTTCCAGGGCTCTAGACACTGAATGTTTGTGAAAAGCTGGCATGGCTGGGACTTGCTTGACCCTCAAAGCTGGACCAGTGCACTGGTCTGCTGTAAGCTTCCCGGCCCTCATTCCTACAGACAGAACCCAGGTGAGGCAACTCAGCGGGCAGATTGCTTAGGCTGACACCCAGTGAACTTGGGGAGGGAATGCAAAGGCTGGAACAGGTGAACATAGTACAGGCTGACCCTCCCAACCTACTGAGTCCACAATGGCCCTGGATTCCTTGTGTGATTGAGCCACCTGCTCCTCTGGCTGTGGCTGGTTGTGTACAGGGGTCCCCTATCCCTTTTACAAACAGTTCTAGTATCGGGCTCCCCCAAGACTCCGAGAAACAGCTGTGAGAAAAGCATTCCAAGCCACTGCCTCAGGGTAGATTTGCTTCCAGGAAGAGAGGCAGATGGCGATGCAGCAAAAGAGGAAAACGGTCACGTTGGATGATAAAGAGAGCGACAGAGACTCTCACGGGAGGAGTGGAGACTGGAAATTATGGTAGGAGCTGTGTGTTTGACCAGTCCTCAGGGACAAGGCAGAGGAAGGTGGACAAGTGAGATGGGGGTCTGGGGAGACCCTGCAATGAAGCTCTCAGAATGGCTGCCCTAGAGTAGCTAAGCTGTGTGAAGCCCCACCCCAAGGGCAGGCACTCAGCTTAAGTGCTCCGCTTACGTAGGACAGCTCTTCCCAGAGTTCTCAGGGCACAAGGCTTATTTGCCGAAGGAGCTGGTTTGCTCGTAGCTTATTTGAACCTTTTCCTGTTTATTGTGCTGTGGCATGCGTGATTCTTTCTGCCTGTGCAGTATAAACACATCTGTCATTTTGTAATTATGATCCCAATAATTCCATGTTAGGCAGGCCTCCCAGAGAGATCAGACTCAGCCTGTAGTCACCTCTGGCTAGTCTCGATCCCCTTGTCGTCCTCTGGTGGGTACCAGAGTTGGGTATGAATGACAACATGCAAGCTAGGCTAACCAGTTGCCCAACAGCATCCACCATGATTTGTGCCAGTCAAAGAACCCAGCCAGATGAATGGCAACCCATCTCCACAGTAACAGTTGGAAGAGCATGGACAATCCCACAGCAATGAGACAGTTTGGTTGCACAGTGTATAGTGCTAATATTCGTGTTAAAGATTCAAACTAAGAGGGGATGTTCTTGGCTTACTAGTACATAGCAACTAGCACAGTAGTACAATCTGGGACACATACATCCATGGACATACACATGATGTAGGTACAACATGTGCAGAGGACATCACTGCTCTGCTGGTGTCCTGGTTTCATTTCTGTTGCTGCATAGAATACTCTGTCTGAAAACCACTTAGGGGATAAACAGTTTATTTGTGCTCGTAATTCCAGATTACAGTCTATCATCGCAGGGGAGTCAAAGCCGCAGAGACGTCAGACTGGTCACCTCACATCCACAGTGAGGAGCAGAAGGGAATGAATGCATGCTTACCACTCAGCTCACATCCCTCGCCTTTAGACCATCCAGGACCCAAACCCAGGGAATGGCACCACCCACAGTGGACTGAGTTTTTCCACATCATTTAAGGTCAAGATAAGCCTCCACAGACAGGCCTACGAGTCAACCTGATCTAGACAATCACTTAGGGAGACTCTCTTACCAGGCGATTCTAGATCATACCAAATTGACAAACTGACCACCACGACTGCCATTTGTTTGCTCAGAATGTTTTCTGACTCCCACACTTCAATTCCTCTAGGCTGACAGAAATGGGACCTTGACAACTTAACCTCAATGACCCCTGGACATGTCTCTGACACCCCTGTCACTCCTGGCACCCAGCATTCTGTGAACTTTCTGTCATGTGTGTACCATCATTTTCCTCGGGGGTGGGGAGAGATATGCTGGAGGTTCTGGCTAAAGTTTGTCAACTAAGTACAACTTCTCAAAAAGGAAAAGGGGGAACGAGTGTTCAGTAATTAGCAGAGGTTAAGTTAATTAGTATATTTACTCTAAGCCCAGGTATGTGAGCTCCTTAACTTTCACCACACCAGGGGCTTTCTTTGAAAACATAATGAAACTAACAGCAAAAGTGTGATTTATTTTAGTTTGTGAAAATAGTAAGCTGTCAACTTTTAAGGGAAAAACACAACAATTTGGGTCATATTTCATTTTCCTCAAAGATCGCTGATAAAACACTATTTCGAGAGGAACACACTATCTAGTGAATCCCACAGAAGCGGCTAGGAAACCAGCAGAATTGCTATCAGAGCAAGTGGCAGAGCACAAGATCAACACAGAAAAACCAATTCCATTTCTACACACGAGTGAAGAACAAACCGGGAAAAAATGAATTACCCCAACGTCCCCATTTACAATTCAGCCAAAAGGAATATACACTTAGGACTCAGTCGAAAAAAAAAACACAAAACTTGAATTTAACTAAGTATAAAACTTACATTCAGAATAATACAAAGTGCTGTTGAAAGAAACCCAAGAGGACTTCTGTGCATGGAAGGACATCCCAAGGTCATGGGCCAGAAAACTCATTGGAAATGTGGCTGTTTGGCTCGATGGGGATCCCCAGTCATAGTTCCACTGGCCCTGGTGTTTCCAGGGAGGCTGTTGGCTGCTATGACGAAGGTTCAGAGTTTGTTGATTTAGAGCTAGGAGACGACCATGCGTTGTTTTGGAGAGGCGTGAAGCCTAAGCAACTCTGAAGCGCCTTGTTTCAGAAGGACTGCAACCTCCATGCTCTTATGCCTCTTCCCTGACACCTGACCCGTGGATTATGTACTTTCCTCGTCAGCCCCTCGACGGCCGGGTCTTAACAGGAGACTGATTAGTGGGTCTGGTGGAAGTCAGACACCAGCAGGACTCTCTGTGTGGGACCCAGGTCCAGGGAAGGTCTTGTCACAAGCTCAGCTGGCTCTTTGGTAGATGATGGTGCTTGGATCCTAAAGTTCATATGTGGGGCTTCAAGGGCACAACACAGGCAGAATGGTCTCAGTGGCTGGTGTGCTCTTTGGCAAAGACAGACACGTCTGCAGGAATCATGTTTTCTGGGTTAGAGTGGGACCAACCTCAGAGTTCAGAAGTTGACCAGTTCCCACAAAGGGTGCTGTGGTAGTTCGATAAAGAATGAGTCCGTTTTCAAACAATGTGTGGAGACACCTGGACAGACACATTCAAAAGAAAGGAATCAGACCCCTGATTCATCAGCCATAAAAACTGAACTTAAAATAAACCAAATCTTGAGATGTCAATACTAAAACTCCCAGAAATAAAAATAAACACAAATTTACATGACATTGGACTAGACCATAGCTTTCTACTGCACCTATATCACAAATAATAAAGATAGGTGGACATAAACTAAAAACACTTTTTGAGACATAAAGATTGAATGCAGGGCCCAGTGCAACCTGGGTAAGAGCTGTACCACTGAGCCACATTCCCAGCCTTCTTTTACTTTGAGACAGGATCTCATGAAACTGCTCAGACTGATCTTGACCTCTATCCGTAGTCCAACCTGGTCTTGAACTTGTAGTTCCTCCTGTCTCAGTGTCCCGGGCATCTGAGAAGACAAGCAGTGTCATCTGGTCTGGCTGGAAAATGTCCGGCCTTCTTCAAAGGACGTCATCCAGAAAATAAAAAACAACTCACAGAATCGGAGGAAATACTCAAAACTCGCATCTCAGTAAAGGGTTTGGGTTTAGAATATATAACTAGACTCACGCTGCTTAGTAACAAAAAGACAACCACCAGAAACTGGGCAAGGGGTCTAATATATGTTTCTTCACAGAAGATAAATATACAGAGGACAAAATGGTGGCCGGCAAAGTGAGCCGTCAAAGCAAATCAAGTCAAACCACAACAGGGCATTATTCCTATCCAGAAGGACGGTTGTAAGGAACACAAAAGAGTGGGTGTTGGCAGGGCTGTAGGGGGGCTGAAACCCCTGAACATGCCTGTTAGATCTGCAAAGCAGTGCAGGATGACTGGCCAGCAGCCCCAACCTTCTCAGACAGTCTGTGACGTGACAGCTCCACTCCCAGGTGCACAAGGGAGGAATAAGGACATCTCCACTGGAGAGAAGGTTCAGGGGTCAGGAGCCCTTGTGTTGCTCTTGCAGAGGGCGTAGGTTTGGTTCCAAGTTCCCATGTGATAGCTCACAGATGCTTGTAACTCAAATTGCAGGGGACTGATGTTCTGTCCTGGCCTCTGCGAACACCAGGCGTTCCCATTGTGCACGTACATACATGCAGGCATTCACATACGCACACAAAACATACAATAAATAGATAAATACTTTTAAGAGGACAGGTGAACGTGAACCTGAACACAGAAGTTCATAGCAATGCCACTTGTGGTAGCAAAAATGAGAAAATTTTTGCTAATACATGGTTAAAGAAAATGCAGCGTATATAGAGAAATAAGGGAAGGATGATCGAGTTCTTGCAGCAGCCTGCGTTCCATCGCTATGATGGGATACTTGAGGCAACTGACCTGCAAGAAACAAGGTTTCCCTTGGACCAAGGCTCTGGAGACTCCTGTGCAGAGCTGAGTGGCCCTGTCGTTTAGGCCTCTGATGAGTGGCACAAATGGGGGGGTCAACAGCCCTTCATACGGTCTGTTTAAAGGCCTAAGGGTCGCGACAATGGCCCCCAAAGGCTCCACCACCCCTGCCAGTGTCCTGGGGAGTAAATCTTCAGCACAGGGTGCTTGTGAGTCCCTTACCCAGTCACACGGATGCTGCAGCGTGGGTGAACCTCGAAAACGGTGCGCTGTTGGCTGCCTTTTACTCTTTGCTCTTTTGCTCTTTTACGGTTTTGGCTCTTTGGGGGTCCTGCCCCCCAGCTCCCCAATAAATACACATGGAGACATTATTACTTGTGAATACCCGGCCTTAGCTTGGCTTATTTCTAGCCAGCTTTCTTTGACTTAGATTATCTCGTCTATCTTTGGCCTCTGGGCTCTTACCTTTTTTGATTTCTTTTCTTTCCTTCTTCTTCCATGTCTGGCTGTGTGATTGGGTGGCTGGCCCCTGGAGTCCTCCTCTCCTCCTCCTTCTCTTGCTCCTCAATCTCTTTTTTTCCGAGATTTCTCTTTCTATTTATTCTCTCTTCCAGCCGGCTCCGCCTATCCTTCCTTTCACCTGCGAGGCTATTGGCCATTCAGCTCTTTATTAGACCAATTGGATGTACTAGATAGGCAAAGCAACATAGCTTAGAGTTAAACAAACATGAAAGCAGGCAACACATCTTTGCATCATTAAACAAATGCTCCACAGCATAAAGAAATGTAACACATCTTCAGCTAATATTCCACAACGACGGCCTGCCGTGTGGCAGTTCTTGTCACAGATGACCACAGACTTTGGAGACAGCTAGTGACGACTGCTGCCCAAAGTGGGTCAGGGGAGTGAGTGTGAACTTGAGTCACTATTCACGGACACAGAGCTTCTTTCCAGGGTTCGGAAATGCCCTCATGTTGGACGGTGCAGCTGAGGGAGAACAGGCTGGAGTCAGATGGGGCTGAGGAGATAATCTAGCCCCGGAGAGAGTGGGGGCCAGTGGCGTGGCTCATCAGGAGAAGGCACAGGCCACCAAGTCTGGCAACTTGGGCCCAATCCCTGGGGCCCACATGGTGAAAGGAGAGATGTAACTCCCAAAAGTTGTCCTCTGACCCCCATGAGTGCACCATGCCACGTGCTGCCCTCCCCACACTCAATAAACAAGTAAATCTATCAAAGCGAGAGAAACAGAGAAAGAGGGACAGAGACAGAGAGACACACAGAGAGACAGAGACAGAGACAGAAAGACACACAAAGACAGAGAGACAGAGACAGAAAGACATACAGAGACAGAGACAGACAGGCACAGAGACAGAGACAGTCAGACTTACATGCACGCATGCACATGCACACACACACACACATGCACACACACACACACACACACACACACACATACACACGAGAGCGGCTTTTGCCCTCTCTGCTGACAACTGAGACCAAGACCCAGCTGCCTCCCTCCAGGAGGGACCTGTTAACCTCCCCTGCAGTCAAATCTGCATCTGCTAAAATCTTCCTTTTGTGGTTTTTCTACATATTGTAAGACTGTCACGGGCAAGATGGAAAGAAAAGAGCTGGACTCTTCTCTGGTTTGTCCAAATTGTAAATAAACCCATTTCCTTTAACCCACTTCTGTTTTCTAATTTCTGTTGGATTTCAGACCTAATGGCCTGGGAACTGCTGACCAACTTTGCAAATCCACTAAAGTAGCAAATCATACACTTTAAATGGGGAAAGTGAGCCGCGATGAGTTATATCTCAATAAAGGCACTCTAGAAAGGAGCAATATGATGAACTGATTCTATTAGCAAGAGCTTACCCACCAATAAGAAACACCTCTAACGCTCCACTCGGATCTCAAAAAAAAAAAAAATCCCTAAACTGCAAACAGTGTGACTTTTCTCACAGAGTCCTCAGCTGTGAGCCAGACTCTGAGAAGGTGGACTGCCAGGGTCAAACCTACATAAAAGGGAGAAGAAACTAATAATGATAGTCCTGAGAAACAGACAGAGCCGATCACCTACAGCAGTGGTTCTCAATCTGTGGGTCACGATCCCTTTGGGGGTTGAATGACTCTTTCACAGGGGCTACCTAAAACCATCAAAAAAAAAAAACCCACTGATATTTACATTTTGATTCATAACAGTAGTAAAATTGCAGTTATGAAGTAGCAATGAAAATAATTTTATGATTAGGGGTCACCACAACCTGAGGAACTGTATTAAAGGGTCGCAGCATCAGGAAGGTTGAGAACCACTGATCTACAGTGTTCAAAACACCCCTTCCAACAGTCCCTAAACGTCCCCACCTGGGTCCTCAGCCATCCCTGATCCCAGGTCAGAACCAGGCCAGGCAGCACAGTACCCTTGGATTCCATTCTACCTGCTGAGATCTGCTGTAGGTCCCAGAGTCTCGAGACAAGTTCAAAGGCAAGTGAGACCACATCTCGAGGACTGGGGGGCAGCTGCACCTTCCCCTCTGACTCCACAGCTCCCCGTGAGCAGCCTGGATCAAAAGGTGGCACACAGAAAGCCCTGGCCACCGGAAATGTCGTTGGTGAGCATTGAGTGGAACCCCAGCTTGCCCAGGAAGCAGTGACAGTAAATTGCAAACAGGCTGGGAGTGGTCAGTAGGTGACCCTGAGTTCCAATTCCAAGTTCTACTCGGCAGAAGGGATGACTAGAAAGGTGAGTTTGACACTGGCAGGGTGCTGGCAGCAGACAGTGACACCAGCAAGCTTAGGGCAGTTCCAAGGTGGACACTGACGCTGAGCTAGTCCCTCTGCCGACCTCCTGTATCCGTGTTGACGGAGTTCACTGACGACCCTCGACGCACTTACCAAGGCCGTCCGGCGGCTTTGCCTGGGGAAAGACGAGCAGACTCACAGGTGAAGGTGAGAGATGAATCATCCAGGGGAGGACGGTCGGTTACTCAGCTGTCCTCCCTGACAGACTCTGTGTGAGGGGCTTTGTGACCATTTTTCTCACAGCTATGAAAAATGCCTGACGAAAACCACTTGAGGAAGGAGCGGGCTATTTGGACTTACAGTCTGAGGGAACAGTCCACGGTGGTGGGGAAGGCATGCTGGCAGGAGGGAGGCAGCCAGTCACGTTGTGTCTGTAGTCAGAGAGATGAATGCTGATGATTCCCTCCCCCTTTTCCCCCTTTTTATTCAGTCCAGGCCCCAGCCCATGGGATGGTACCACCCACGCTAAGTGTGGCTCTTCCCATATCAGTTAAAACTCCCTGGCAATGTCCCCACAGATGTACCCAGAGGTGTGTCTTCTGCGTGATTCTAAAACCAATCCAGCTGACAGCGGAGATTAACGATTATTGTGATCAGGTGTGGGGATTCGAAGACCCTGGAATCTTTTAGTCCCATCAGCTCAGTAGTCCAGACTGAGAAAAGCTAGCACCCTGGAGCCCGCCGCGCGGTCTCTGCTCAGCTGGACACTGTCTCCCGTGGCTGTCTACGGAATGAATTGTCCTAATTAACAAAAAGGAAAAGACTTGCACCCCCGCTGTGGAGTCAGGTTTCCCCTGTGATGTGTTAACTGAAGTGTGAGCCCTTAGCCCTAAGTAGCATCCTCAAGACCGTGGTACTCAACCGTCCTAATGCTGCAACCCTTCAATACATGTTGTGGTGACCCCCGACAAGAAAACTACTTCATTGCTAATTCACAACTGTAATTTTGCTACTGTTATAAATCATAATGTAAATATATAATATACAGGATATCTGATATGTGACCCTTAAAAGTTTTCATGACCCACAGTTGTCCCGTGCTCCCTGGGGACTGGAGACTTCCCAGTGTGGCCTTCACACTGGTAATGAGGAGCTGAGAAACAGGTCATTGAACCTTCCCCATCTCATTGAATCCTGAGGAAGGGGCAACTCCACTCTCCCAAGCTGACTGACAGCTTCTCCTAGCTGTGTGTGTCAGTGACGCTTGCCTCGAATCTTAGGCCCAGCATGTTGGGCAGCAAGGGGGATGGGACGAGCAAAGACTTCTAAGTCCTTTCTTGCCTGAAAACCTAATTCTGTTCCACCGAACCTGTGTAACTGGGCTTCTCCTTGGTGTGGACGGGAGCCCAGCTTCAGGCAGAGAGAAGAGACACAGCTTTGCAGTGGGGGCACAGAGTCAGCTTGGGGTACAGAAGAAGGCAGGAGGGCCGACTCTAGAGCATCCCATGACCCGTGGGGCCCAGTGTCCTGTAATCCACCTACAGCCTGATATGCAGCCCAGATCTGAGTGACCCTTCGGTCCTGACCCAGCATGGTGACTATCAGCCTTCCACTAGAGTTGACAGGGGTGGTGGGAGTAGTCCTATGTCCTTCCCAGGGGCAGAGGCATCCTCCACTCATGGTAATGGGGGGTAATGGGGAGCATTGAGTATATTCAGGCATTCCCAGCAGATCTGCCTGGGTCCTGGTTTGCTTGGAGACTCACAGGCATGGCAGCTCCCACACAGTACCTGTCAGGGCAGGACATGACTACGGCATATGGAAAACAACTGCTTTGGATCCTGGCTCCCAGCAGCCAGGCAGGGACTAGGCCTGGGCCCCACTGGGGAAGAGAATGCTCTTTATCACTCTCTAGCGTTTAGCCTGCCTGGACCTCCTTCCTCTAGCTTCTTCCTCAGCTGTTTCCAGGACCTGGGTTAGCCTCCAGCTCTATCCTCTGCCTCAAGGGTCCTAATCCATCTCTAGTTCTGGCCCACAACCTGGGTCCTAAAGCTTGCACCACAGGGACACCGTGACTTCTTCAGTTTCAATTCCCATCTACACCCCCTGCTCGCAACTCCCAGCTGCACCCCAAATCCTCAACCCCCAGCTACAGGCTGAACCCTGAGCCCAGAATCACAAGTTCTATAAGAGCCAGGTGGTGCAGGGTGGTCAGGAGTAGGTGGGGCCTTCCCCAAAAGCCCTCCAGCCCCACAGATGGAGCGGGAATGTGGACAAGTCTGCTGTGGGCTCGAGGCTGGCTGTGCAGAGGTGAGTGGCTCTTCTCACCGGCCTCTGCAATTGCCTTAGCGCTATGGGGACAAGGAGGAGAGAGCAAGGGGGAATCCAAACATCTTAGGAACTGGAGAGGCGGGGGTGTCGTAGAGTCTATTGGTTTCTTGGCAGGTGGAGGTAAGTTGGCCTTCAGAGTCCTCAAGATAGTTTACTAAGAGAATTGGGTTGGATTGCTGCAGTCCTTGGAAGTGAGGAGTGATGTGTGACCGCCCCCCCCCCAAACCCCGGGCTGTCTTTAGAAATGGGAGCTGGGAAGCAGGCGGCTATGAGGGAAGTGGAGGCACTGAGCAGCCAGGTATGGCTGGAACACACTGGCCCGGTTGAGATGTAGCTTAGCTTCTTGCCCACAGTGTGCAAAGGGCACACGAACTTCTCCGGGTCTCCTGGTCCTGGTCTCCAGAGATGTGCCCCCAGGGAAATGGGAGAAACAACAGAATGTGCCCATATCCCCCAGCAAGCTTGGCAGCTATATGAGCTGGTGCTGGCATGTTGGGTAGGCAGATGGATTACAGCAGAGCTCAATTTACCGGGTGAGGTCAGCGGCCCCAGCTGTCACCCCACGCCTTCAGAACTGGAGACGCCATGAAGATGTTGCGGCCACAGAGTCCTA